CAAATGTAAAGAGAATATTCAGATATATAAATGACAACTAAGAATTTAGGTATTAGATACAATGTGAATAACAATAAAGATGAGGAAGAATTAATAAGTTATTCAGACTCTGATTATGCAGGAGACATAGAGACTCGGAAAAGTACGACCGGTTTTGTAATTATGTACTCAGACGGTCCTATAAGTTGGTGCTCTAAGAAGCAGTCTATAATAGCGTTATCAAGTACCGAAGCGGAGTACATTGCGGCGACAGAATGTTGCAAGGAAATTCTGTATCTTAAATTTCTAATTGAGGAATTGACAGGTAAACCAATTAAAGCAACTTTGAATATTGACAATCAAAGTACCATTTCTTTAATTAAAAATAGTATAGGAAACAAAAGAAGTAAACATATTGATGTCAAATATAGATTTATAAACGAAAAGGTCGCTGAAGGACTAATACAGATAAAATATTGTTCCACTAATATGCAGCTTGCAGATATATTTACTAGGACAAATTAAGTTTGAGACTCACAAAAGTAAATTAGTAAACTAAGTTAGATTTAGATGTAAGATTTATATATGTTTCAAATTAGTTGTAAGATTCATATACAATAATTTAACAATTAAGGGAAGGTGTAAAGAATAATTGTTTCATTTAGTAATTTATGTTTGGCGCCAGTGTCTGTAGAGTGCGTGCGTTACTGTTGCGTGACTAATGAAAATGCGCTTCTTCTGTTCAGTTAAGACTGTAATCGACAAGAATCCTTCTGTATTGTCTTTTCACAATAAACTTTATATTAACTACAGAGAATTGATATTGTGTTTCAAGAGCCTCTGGCTATAGTACAAAAAATAATATATAACAAATTGAAAATAGTTTGCCACTCGTACACACGTGAATCCAGTAAAGCAAGCATGCAAAGACGGTGCAACGCATCATAAGAGTAACATAATGCAGTCACAGTGCGAGTGAGTGTGAGTAGCGAATTATTTACAATTATAATTCAAAAGCTTGCAAAAAGAAGTTGCAAACAAAATTTTGCAAGAGAAAAAATTGTTTTAGAAATCGCCCAAGGATATGATATTTCAAGAACATTAGATTGTTTTGAATCACTTTGCATATAAAGGAAGTTAAATAAAGTTATATATGTATAAATATACATACATATCCTTTATAGAGAATAATAGATTGAAATTTATGTTATTTACCAATTTTTAGGAAAAGATGGAAAAATTATTGAGTGGAGTTCTGTATAAGATAGGATACAATGCAAAACGAAACAAAAAGGATTTTTCTGAACGTTTAAGAGCGGAAGCCATAAAATGGGCATGTATTATTGCTAACAAAGAATGCAGAGAAGTAGCCAATATGCAAATGACAAAAGATCTATATTCTGAAAGTGGCATGTATGTTTTACACCCACAATACTTATATAAACAATTTTTGTTGCATTACATATACTTATATTCTATACGTCAAATACCGTACTAGATAAATTATTTTATCATAAAATAAGCTAAATATTTGTAAAAAATTTTTTTTTTCTGGTAACGCAGTTTTGTAACGCAATCAGAATGGAAAGCATGGATGTATTGTAATGGTTTGGTGTCAGCGAACAGCACCATTTGGTATGACGTATGGGACAAATGGGCAACAACACCTAATAATATAAATTTTTTAGAATATTTAAGTTGCAGTGAAGATCCTGTAGTCATTTCTGATTATTTGCAGCTGAATTTGATTGATAGTTTTTTATTACAACACAACAATACACGTGCTCACATATTTCTTTTTATCGTTGCGCGGCATGCAAGCAACGATACAGTTTGCGATTTTATATTGCAAAAATCTCAAAAATAATACATTTATGTTTACTTCCAACACGTAATAATAATTTCTTTGCAAATAAATCTTTATATTTATATAAATTTTTGTTATATTCATAAATTTTATACTCCAGCGGCAATTTTTTCTTATTGTTTTTTTTAAATAACAATATTTATCACTTTATTCTTTTGCAGGCAAGCCGACCAAATTGCAACATTAATTGTCATTATTACGCATCAACATGTAAAGCAATTGAATAAGGTATATTTTTTTAACTTAAATGACACTTTTATTTTTTAACTACTTTAATATTAAGCTTATTTTTACTAGATTTCTCATGTACATAACATTACCTTTAACACAGCAATTAATACTCTCATAAACTGTAGCGAAAAAGGAGTATGTTAAATGTAGGTCGACTTTGGCCCATGGTGTGGAACCAAAACTACAAATGGTTTCTTATAGATTTCATACCGTAGAATCACGTGGTAAAGTTTGTTTTTCTCTAAACAGCGGGGAAAGTACGGAAAAATTAAAAAAAGACCATGAAAAATGCAATTTTCCGAGCTGGTTGAAGTTTAAAACATTCCTGGAACGATTTTTAAAATATGATTTGTCGCTCTTG